AGAACTGTGTTCGACATAGATCACAGAAATATCTTTTTGGATCCACTTCCTAGAGTAATGAAAATAAAACCAAAAATAAACAAATGGGACCTAATTAAACTTAAAAGATTTTGCACAGCAAAGAGAACCATAAACAAAATGAAGAGACAACCCACAGAGTGGGAGAAAATATTTGCAAAAGAAGCAACCGATGGATTAATCTCCAAAATATACAAACAGCTCGTGCAGCTCTATGTAAAAAAACAAACAACCCAATCAAAAAAATTGGCAGAAGATCTAAATAGACATTTCTCCAAAGAAGACATACAGATGGCCAAAAAGCACATGAAAAGATGCTCCATGTCACTAATTATCAAAGAAATGCAAATCATAGCTACAATGAGGTATCACCTCACTCCAGTCAGAATGGCCGTCATCAAAAAACCTACAAACCATAAATGCTGGAGAGGATGTGGAGAAAAGGGAACCCTCCTACACTGTTTGTGGGGATGTAAATTGGTACAGCTACTAGGGAGAACAGTGTGGCGGTTCCTTAAAAAACTGAAAATAGAGCTACCATATGATCCAGCAATACCACTCCTGGGCATATATCTGAAGAAAACCATACTTTGAAAATTTACATGCACCCCAGTGTCCACTGCAGCACTATTTACAACAGCCAATACATGGAAGCAACCTAAATGTCCATCAACAGATGAATGGATAAAGAAGATGTAGTACATATATACAATGGAATATTACTCAGCCATAAAAAAGAATGAAATAATGCCATTCGTAGTAACATGGATGAACCTAGAGATTATCATACTAGGTGAAGTAAGTCAGACAAAGACAAATAGTACGTGATATCACTTATAAGTGGAATCTAAAAAAATGATACAAATGAACTTATTTACAAAACAGAAACAGACTCACAGACAGAAAAACTTATGGTTACCAAAGGGGAAAGGTCGGAGGCGGGGGGAGGGATAAATTAGGAGTTTGGGATTAACATATACACACTACTATACATAAAAATGATAATCAACAAGGACCTACTGTATAGCACAGGGAACTCTACTCAATATTCTATAATAACCTAAATGGGAAAAGAATCTGAAAAAGAATAGATATATGTATATGTAAAACTGAATCACTTTGCTGTACACCTGAAACTAACACAATATTGTAAATCAACTATAATAGAAAATAAAAATTTTTAAAAAGGAAAGAAAAAAATTATAAAAGTACTGGATGCTCATTACAAGAATTTATACATGTATTACATTACACTCATTACAAAAATATATACATATTATACAAGAATTTATGACATAAAACTATTACTTCAATTCAGTCCAATGTTTATATTCTCATCACATCAGCTCAAAACAAGATGATGAGCATCCCTGTCCTCTTGGCGTTTCCAGTATATAAAAGAAGACAGACATGAAACAATGGTGATTACAGGGTGTTTTATAGAGTTCAAAATGGAAGTGCAATTTGATCTTAATCTCACTTGAAGGGTCAGGGAAAGCTTCTATGAAGAGCAGAGAATAAAATAAAAATCATCTGTAATATCACCAGCTGTAAATAACAGCCCTTTGATTTGAAGTTATTTTCTTCCAATCTTCTTCACATACACTTTCTTCAGATTCTTCCCTTGAAACCCAGCATGCTATTCTCTGGATACTCATTTTCTATAAAATGCTACTCGTTCTATCCTAGAATTCCATACCTTGGTGCATTTTTCTGGAATACTGCTTACATGTGATGTTAATATACGTTACCGAGAAAGTGGTCTACGACCAAAGCAAGTTTAGAAATCATTGAGTTAGAGCTTCTGATGTGCTAATGAGCACTGGGCATCTCCAACAGGGGGTTTCGATATTAATGGTCTCATTTTCTAAACCAATTGGATTTTTATATTTTTAAGAGGCATCTTGAAGGAACACAAGAGCATTCTGGGAAATGTTCTATGACCCTGGGCAATGTTTCAGGGGTGTATAGCTCTTATCAGAGTCCCACTATTTTAGCACGTGAAACTCAGTCTATGTGTTAAATGTACACAGCACACTGCAGACAGATAGAAGGCAGAAGACCTCAGACTCCTCCAGGACCTTCCCAATTATCAGAGCCCAGCTTGGAGCTCCTGGCCTTGTTTAGGGTGTTGGAACATATGTCATCCTAGGCCAGAGTCAGCACTATCCTGCCCCAGTTTCTCAAAACAAACAATGGACATTAGAAGCTACTTTTGGATTAACCACTGCACACCCATTGCCACAAGACCTGCTTTGATTCTGATCTGGGGCTCTCAAGCCCCTTTTCTTTTTGGAAAGGACCCAATAGTTCCTGAAATCTGGCTACAATGAATGTTTCCGCTGCGGTGGCGACACCTTGTGGTCAAGACGGGAAATGCACAGGACAATAGGGCTCCCACATTCCTTCTGCTCCAGCTGGGGAGAAGTTTACCTCCAGAGAAGCCCTGGTCTGCCAGAGACACTGATGTCAAATTGACAAGACTTAACTTTCCTGCCCTCCACCCTCCTTCCTTGACATCCAGATTACTACTCCTTCAGTACATGAATCTCAGCTGACTGGGACAGTTCAGAGCTATCACATATGTGATCTCCTCTTACTCTTTTCATAGCCTTTCGGGAAGGCAGTATAATGATAGTCCCAGGTTTTCACATGAAGATATTAAGGGTCAGAGAGGTTGTGAGTGACTTAAGCTACAAAGTGGAGAATTCGGGACTCAAATCCTTGTGTGCTGATTCCAGATTCCCTGTTCTTTTTTCTGCTGGCTTGCCTCCACTGATCCAAGTCAAAGGAAGCAATCTCTAATGTTGAGAATTCTGTCTTTAGATGTAGGAGGGTTGAGGAACTCTGCTCCCCAAATTGCCCACTGTGGACTTTTAAAATGTCTTAAAGGTCAGAAAGGGGTTTGGACTGACCCACAGAAGAAGAAGACACAACAGATGCTCTAGGGCCCCGTGAGGTAGGTGGAGCCAAAGGCTTTGAGAACCATGCCCACCTCACAGCACCATCCAGATGCAAGCTTGTGTTGTTATTACCATTAACCATGCTTTTCTGGGTCACTCCCAGGTCCCAGTTCTGACTCTGAGTAAATCTTATCTAGAGGCAAGATAAATGTTTTCCAAAGTAACTAAGTGCATCTCCCTTTAACCTACTTTCATGCCCTCAGGTTTCTCCTCTTTTGGATCACTGAAAAACTAAGCTTTGGTTTCTAACAAGCAGAGGAGTCTTTCCTGATGGAGGCAGGAGAGCTGTGAGCGGGGTGCCCGTTTCCTACAGGGCAGAGGCCAGCCTCCCTAGCCTGATGCACAGGCCCTGCGCGATCTCTCTTCGCCGCTTTTCTTACGGCAGTACCTCCCATCATTCCCACATGTGTGGTTCCTGTACTGTTCTCCAAGCTTGGCCTACTCATCCTTGAGGACCCAGTCCAGATAACAGCTAATAATTCTACCAGGCCCTGGTCTCAGTACTTTATATGTACTTTTATTTAATCTTCACAACATCCCTATGAAGTAAATACTAGTTTCATGCCCCTTTTATAGATGTACAAAGGAAGGCACAGAGAGGCTAAGTAACTTGCCAAGGTCACACAGCTAACAAGTGGCAGAGCCAGGATTCAAGCCCACGCCGTGCTCCTAACCAACATGATCTCCTGCCACCTCAAGTGCCCCCACCTTGAAGAAACCCTCTTTGACCCCTTTATGCATACTCTGGGTTCCAGCACCACTGGATACAAACTATTGCAGCATTTACCACCTTGCAACCCTCAGCTTTGGGCCCACCTGTACACACTTTGCTGGAAGGTCAGACCAACCAGTGTCCATGGCTGACCTTCTGCGACCATTGCTGGAGTCCCTGGGCTGTTCACAGGCCAGAGGAGAGCTGCCACGTGGTTTTGACACATTCAATAAAACTTGCCAACCAGAAATACGTAAACAAAACCAGAAGCTTGTTGAAATCCACAATACATCTTCTACTTTACATTGAATGGAGTGGGTTCTACTAATTCCTTTTTTACTTTTAAGAAGTTCTTGTTTTGCCCCCAAACAAATGAACAGTAGAGTGGTGACGTTCACCCTGGTTTGACCGGAGCCCCTGTCTGTGCATTCACCCAGCAAGGCTCGCTCTCCTGTCCCATCTCCTCAGAACCGTTGTCTACATCCACCGCTCCGCCTCCCACTTCCTTTCCACCCACACTGGACAGAAAGGCCTCCCAGAAGTTAATCCAATGGGACCTTCCAGGCCTTGCCTTCCTCGATCTTCAGGAGCGGTGAGTGCAGCTGGCCAGGCAGCCAGTGTGCACAGGGGCCCGGGGATTCCACCGGGGTTTTCCCACATCACTTGGCTCCAAGGTAATGACAGTGGGATGTTTATACAGCTCTTTTTTTTTTCCCTTTCTTTCTTTTTTTTTTTTTTCAGTTTGTTTCCTGACCAAAAGGTCAAATACCAAGCTGCCCTGTACAAAACCAGTCCCCTGACAACCATAGCAGGACCTACCATTTCCTTCCCTGGGAATGTGGGATCCTTACAGCAGACCTGGTCCTGTAGTTGGGTGGGACCATAAAATGGGGGTGAGTTTGGGGGATGGGGATCCCCAGGGGAGTCTGAGATGGACCTGCCTGGCTAGGGGATGGGAATAGGAAATTCCCCACCCTTAAGTGGAGCCATAGAATTAGACTTGAGGCCTTAAATGTATACTTTAGGACATAATCATAACCAACACTAAAATCCTACCTAGTGCTTTTGCACCGACTGGTTATTGATACTTGCTTACTCAAGAGAATTCAGTTATGGGGAATAAAGAAAACAAGTTAACATTTACTACGTTATTATTTCTCAAAACAACTTATGAGGTAGGTGCTATTAAGAGAAAATGCTGCTTAGAGAGATGGTCCAAGATATTGCAGTGCCAAATGCAGGGTGGAGGGAAAGGGGCAGCCTTCGGGGTTGGGGGGGTGGCTGGCCGTCCTTGCTGACCCCGTTACCTGGTGCGACTTGACGCTCCTGGTGCAGGACATCATAACTTTTCCAGCTGTACTGAGGGGCTGGGGAGCCCTCCTTGGATTGGCAGGTCAGCTGGATGTTGCTCCCAATCACAGTCTCTCCCTCAATGCTGCAGTCTGGCTCGGAGGGTGGCACTGTGTAGGGGAGGGGCCAAAGAGAAGCCATGAATTAGTTGGCGCTTGATGATAGCCACCCCACCCCCACCCCAAACACACACACAAACGAAAATACTGCCTTGTTTGTTTACAGGCAGAGAAATGTGGAGACCATTCTTAGCTCACAGGCCATATAAAACAGTCTGAAGCCTGGATTTGGCTGTAGTTTGCCTATCCTTGGTTTCAATGAAAGCCTCTCTCTCTGAAGCCCTTCAATTCTAACTTCTTAGGAATGTTCCCTTCACTTAAGCATTACCGTCTTCCCATGCTTTGCTGGTAAAATGCAATTGCCACAAGTGACTGGGTGATAGGAGAGACCCCTGGTGGCAGCAGGGTTACGTGCAGAGTGAAGAATGAGGGTTGAGGGGATGGAGGGGCCGGAAGGAGCAGACACAAGAAAAGGAAAGCCCACAGAAAGAAGGTTATGGGACTGCCCTGGTGGCGCGGTGGTTAAGAATCCGCCTGCCAATGCAGGGAACTCAGGTTCAAGCCCTGGTCCGGGAAGATCCCATATGCCACGGAGCAACCAAGCCCGTGCACCACAACTACTGAGCCTGCGCCCTAGAGACTGTGAGCCACAACTACTGGAGCCCAGGCTCCACAACAAGAGAAGATACCTCAATGAGAAGCCCACGCACCCCAACGAAGAGTAGCCCCCGCTCACCGCAACTAGAGAAAGCCTACGTACAGCAACGAAGACCCAACGCAGCCAAAAATCATAAACAAATAAAATAAAACTTATTAACAAAAAAAGAAAGAAAGGAGGTTACCAAAACCAACTGACCGCCCTCAACTCACAAGCCTAACCTGATCTCCCAGAATTCCTGAAGACCTTAAGCCAGGGTCTTTCACTCAGCACTGTTAGTTAACATACCGCTGTGTAGAGTGGTTTGTTCTACAAAACCTATCAGGCACCTACAGTATGCCTGTCATTGCTGGGCGTGGGGATGACATAGTGAGTACTGTTTTCATGTTCAAGGAGTCCAGTGGGGGCAATAGACAAGTAATCAAACAAGGACCAGGCAGGAGGCAAGGATGCTGAGACAGGACAGGCACAACAAGGGACACTGACCCAATCACAAAGCCAATAGTAGACGTGATTGGCGGAGGGGGGCGGGCAGAGAAAGAGAGGGGAGGGCACTCCAGGCAAAGGGAGCAGCCTGTGCAAAGAAGCATCGAGTATGCCTGGGACTTCAGGTCACGTCCTTGACGGTGGGAAGAGGACGACACCCGGTAGAGAGGACTATTACTGGAATTCCCCAGTGGTAGGCTTGTCCCCTCTGCTTCTTTCTTTATGTGCCCCCTTGGATGGCTTGCTTGCCCCAGTAAATAGCGCTGCCCTTTCTACAATCTAGACTGCACATGTGCATGGTCACTGGGCATGGTGGGTGAATTCCAATCTCTGTTTGGCCCAGAGTTGCCAGGAGAAGCTACCCAGGACACATCTCTCCCCTCTAGCGCCACAGCCCATGATATTTCCTCTCTGACACTGGCGGTGGTGGCTGGGTGTGCCCCACGTCTCCTGCTATCTTAGTGAGGGCCAGCCAGGCATGGGGTGAGCATGGGGCAAATCAGAGGCATTTCCTACTGCCACCCCCAATCGGACAGTCCCTAAACTTAAAAGGCCCCAGGTTCAAGGACAGGACTCAGGTATCCAGGCCCAGACCCACAGGACTGAAGCAGCCTGGGAAGGGAGAGGCTGCTACCCGCAGGCCACTCTCACAAGCTGCCCTCCCGTCCTCCCTGCTGACCCAGCAAGCAGGCACCTGATGGACAGAGAAAGTGAGCATCACTTCCGAGGAGACCCGGACCAGGTCAGGGTTGCTAAGCCAAGCTTTATCTCTTGAGCTCTCCAGAGGGACAGGAATATCCCTCCCCACCGATCAAAACTGTCACCTTTGTTTCCAGGTACGCTTTTACCAGGAAGCTAAGCCTTTATTCCACAAAAAGAGAGCTGGCCACAAATATAATACCACCTTCAAAGTCTCACATTGACTCAGAGTCATGCTAAATGTGCATGCCTGGTAGCCAAGCCTTTCCACAACCGGGTTTCTTTGTAATACAAGCCAAAAAGGAGAGAGAAGGGACTGGGGCAAATGAGCACCTAGAGAAACACAGAAAACCATGCTGAACATATCCGAAGACTAGCTTTCTTTTTTTAATGCCAATAGCTGCCCTTTGCCAGTAGGCAGTGGTTTTTTTGTTTTGTGTTGTTTTTAATATTTATTTATTTATTTGGCTGCACGGGGTCTCAGTTGCGGCATGCTAGTTGCCGGCATGCAAACTCGGTTGTGGCCTGTGGGATCTAGTTCCCTGACCAGGGATCAAACCCTGGCCCTCTGCATCGGGAGCACGGAGTCTTAGCCGCTGGACCACCAGGGAAGTCCCAAGACTAGCTTTCTTATACCACCATTTGCTGAGGGAAAATTATTAAAAGCAAACCCTTAATCCACTCCGAGGCAGCAGTAGAGATAATGGCAAACAAGGACCAACCATCCCCTAAGAGACCCACCTTATGGAGGAATGTATCAGGGTCCTTTCCCAGGGCCCTTAATCTCGGCCCCCAAACTGCCTTCCCGGCTCACGTCATCCTAGGCACCCCCAGCCCTCGCTCAGTTCAGACCCCTCCCTGAAGCTCCCCTTCTCAGTTCCCACCGTCAAGAACAGCTAGGACCTTGAATCAGACAGATCTAGTTCAGACTGCCCTTCTACCCGCTGCGGGGGGGTGTGAGACCCGCGAGGACTCTTGTGGATCTCGGATTCTCAGTTGGTGCGTCCTATCTCCCAAAACCGAATGCAGATACCACCTGAATACTTATAGAGGGCGGCGGAGTGAAGGGAGGGATCGGGGACCCTGTGGGTTCCCAGGCCTCTCCAAAGCCTGCGACTCCCGCCGCAGACGTCAGGGGGCGCCAGAGGCCGGGGAGACGACCTATCCTGCCCGGCGGCGCCAGGTCGCCGATACCCGGGCCAGGTGGTTTCCCCGCGGTGACCAAGAGGGCGCGCGCCCCGCCTCGGTCCGGAAGCTCCGTGTTCGCGCCAGTTTACTGTGAGGTCACGCAGCACGAGTGGGTGGACCCACATAATTAAAGCCCTTCTCCCTAAAATTAGCCCAGCAGCAAAGCCATTCGGAAAGAAAACTTTAAAAAAAAAGGATTTTTACTGGGTTTCTTAACATGTAGTACCAAATTATCTTTTTTTAAAGCAAAACATTCTTTTCACCGAGTTGCATAATTTCAGATTAAATTTGTAGCCTTTGCCCTTCGAGTTAACTAATTCCTCTCTTAAAATGCAGCTGGCCCTGAGAGGGGAGGGGAAATCGGGATATTCGCACCTGAGTGGGTTCCCGCTGCCTTCTCCGAAACCAGCTTGCTGCCAGAAGAAAGTAGGAGCTATTTAAGGGAAGCCAGAAGGAGACAGAATTAGCCCGAGAAGGACCAGGTGGGTCAAAGTGAGGGACTCAGCTGCGGGTGAATCAGGGCAAGGGGAGGGATGGGAGTGGGGTGGGTGACGGGACAGTGCAGAATACAGAAGAGAAACAGGAGAAAATAGCTCATTTTCTTGGCTGGGTATTATCTCCCCCAGGAGCTAATGCAAATAAAATTAACCGCTATGCACGCAAAACGGTTTGATGCAACATTAATTACAATAGCTTAAATTAGAAACAGCCTGAGTGTCCAGTCCAGGGACAGAGGGACTCTGCGTCCGCTTGCTGGAGTGGCATGAAGCTTAAAGAACAGTAAGTGCTAAGATAGCAAGAAGTGTTAGGTGATGTGGAATGAAAAGAGAAAAGTGCCAGTCGTTAAGCTACAAATTCAGTTACGTACATAAATAAGCATGTGGATAGGATCTGGAAGAAAACATGGAGAAATATAAAACCCAGTGATATAGGTGAATGTCTTTCTTTTCTTGTTTCTTCTTCTTTTTTTAAATTAGTTTTTTAAAGAGGCAAGGGATCACCAAACACAGCTATTTGTTTATTTGTGTTTGGACTAAGGTTGTTGTAGCCGGGGAATAAGAACAGGACAGCAGAGCAGAAACAGGCTTTTTCTAACAACCTTCTGTGCATTAGATATTTTGACATAAGGAGCCCTCCACAAATAGGTAGAATCCCCTGATTCAATGGAGCCGGTAGAAAAACACATCATGGCACTCCACCTAGTCTGGGGCAACTAAAACACAGCTGTAAAAATGCTATAAGATGATAAAATGTGGTGGTGTCAGCCTTGTGCATGAGATTAGGGGAGGATGTTCCTAAAGCTCTAAAAGCATCAGAGCTCCCCATGAAAACCCTGAAATAAACATCCATGCACTCACAGGGTGGCAGGGCTTCAGTGTCCCAGACCCTAAGCTGAGACATTCAGTGTGGAAGAGCAATTACAGAATCTCAGTTTTCAATGAGTGATGTTTCCAAGATGGGTATGTCCTGCAGACAAATGAAGGCAATGGGCACATCCAGGGCTGGCATTGCTCTGCCCCTTCAACCTTCTTTCACTGGCATGGGCTCAAGAAGGGAAAAATACAAGTTAATGCTGTGACATGATAAAACATATTGGCAAGTCTACATCTGCCATAGAGTGAAAGAGAGAGTATACCGATAAGTAAGCCTAGAAGAGTTTGGGACTCATCCAGAATTGGAAGGGCTGCTGGTTGGGAATGGCAGACTTACAGGGTGGGACGGTGAAGGGCTTTAGATTTAATTTCCATCAAAGCTTGGACACCTTCTAGTGGTCATTTAACCTCTCAAGTCTCAGTGTTCCCGTCTATTAAATATGAGTGTTAATACCCACTTTCACAGATGTATTGCAAAGGTTAAATGAGATCATATCCATAAAGCACTTAGTGAGATGCCTGGCACATAGCAGGCCCTCAATAAATGATAACTGTTATGATTGTGAATTTGTGTTATCTATAACAACTCTATACAGGCAAAGGTCATTGGAAGTTGATGGTAGTTTTCCCTCCATTTAAGAGGGATCCCTCTGGTTTTCAGAGCAGGAAGACACAGAGAGATTGGGTATTTGGTTACATGGAATGGGTGCAGTTTCCTGCCCTCCTCCTATACAACTAAGTAAACACCTTAATCCTCATTTGGCCACAGAAAGTCTGGAATTCTATCATTAGAGATTCACCAATTTTGAAGGTCAGAAAATCTGATATACCATCTTCCTTAATATCATTAAAATGTCATTCCTTTGCAAATTAAAATGCAAATTGAATATAATTCCAACCAACTTTTTTTAACTAAGCAAAGTGATTTTAAAATTAATATGAAAGAATAAAAGTGTAAAAACTGACAAAAATTTTTGGAAAAGTTTAGTAAGAGAAGATATTACCCAGCGCCAGACCTTAAAAGCCAACTACACAAATACTGATAACTCTAAATGTGTTATGTGTCTGTGTGTCCGTGCGTCTGTATGTCTGTGTATCTCAACACTGACTACAGACAACAGACGTACTGTAGTCAAAAGCAAATGATTTTGGCATAGGAATAATCAAAAGGTAAATGAATAAAATAAGGAGTAAAAAACAGCCATGTATGTGTAAGAACTTAATATGTGACAAAGCTGGGATTCCAGTGGGAAAATAGTTGTTTCTTTGATATAATAAACGATGCTGATGTAATTGGCTATCCATTTGGAAGAAAACAAAGACCCCTAGAACCCTATGTTCAAAAATAAATTCCAGACCAAACAAAATCTAAGGATAAAAAATAAGACTTACAGACATAAGAAAAAACATTAAGTTCATTTTTATGACCTCAAAGGTGGTAGTGGGAGACCTTGTGCAAGACAAGAGACCCTAAATTCATAACAGAAAGCATCAGCAGGATACAGAGGGGACTTCTCCTGTGTCTCAGAATTTCCACTAAAACCTTCAGGTTGAGGCTCTGAATGGTAAGTGTCCTCAGTACTGAGGAGAGGCATGAGAAACATCCCAGTGACCTTCCCAAGAGCAAATCCTATGATTAACAGTTACCCTCACCCAGAAGGCTAGAAATTCATCTGAGAGGAGATTTCTTTTTTTCTTTTTTTTTTTTTTTTTTTTTTTGGTACGCAAGCCTCTCTCTGTTGTGGCCTCCCGTTGCAGAGCACAGGCTCCGGACGCGCAGGCTCAGCGGCCATGGCTCACGGGCCCAGCCGCTCCGCGGCATGTGGGATCCTCCCGGACCGGGGCACGAACCCGTGTCCCCTGCATCGGCAGGCGGACTCTCAACCACTGTGCCACCAGGGAAGCCCGGGAGGAGATTTCTTTAAAGAGGATTCTCAGGAATAGGGATCCATGAGCATCTCCCCCCTTCTCTTAGGTGAAAGGAAGGAGGTATTTCCCCTCAACTCAGGCCCAGCCAGGGAGGAACCAATAGAATCCCGCATGGAGAATGAGGTTGTCTACTGTCGAGAGCTGGCATCCCTCACTCCTGGCTGAGGTTTGCTGAGGGACAGAAATCAGTAAGTCCCTGCAGTGCTACTCCTGGAGCATGAAGGTGGAAGGGCTTTATAGATGTCCCTGGGTGTCTGAGGACCCATCTGAGGTCAGACTATGGTGCGTACCCCTTGCCCAGAGAAGCTGGCTGGAGCAGACTGCGATGGTGGGTTTAGAAGGGTAATGATGGAGGCTGATTCTTGTCATACTGAAGGGACTCAGTCCCAGAGAGCTGCTTGCTGGATCAATGCGAGCCCAGAGTGGACAGCAGAGAGCAGGAGTGAGTTGCCATAAGCAGGGGAGGGTGGAAAAGGGTGGTGGATGTGAGAGTCTGGCCAGTGGGTGCACACACTGCCTGTGTCAGGTGGATCCCTGGGGGATACTGAAGAACCCACTAATGCACCCCACAAAAGAAGCAGTAGTGGGATGTCTGCTATGATTGGGGTTAGCCAAGAGAAAATGGTAAGTGGCCTGGCTAGGTGAACATGGCCTTGCCTTTTTCCCTTTAACACTCCCTGCCTTGGCCATGACCTGAGAGGAGCCAGAAGTGGGGGTGGGAGGAGGTGGACCAAGGAGAGTAAGAAAACAGACCCAGCCCTTATTCCACTGCTGGTCCCCAAGATTTAGGGAGTCAGCACAAAGTTAAGGAAAGGTGTGAAGCTTATTGGATGTTAAATTAAAATACTGACTTGGACTGAACTGGCTTTTTTTTCACCTAGCAAATTAACAAAACTGAAAAAGATTGATAATATTCAGTCCTGGTAAGAATATAGGAAAACAGACATGATCACATAATGCTCATGGCAGTAGTAGCTGCTTTGGGGAAAAGTAATTTGCCGGTATGGAGTAACGTTTAATGAAGGCATAGTCCTTGACCTAGAAATTCTACTTTTTTAAATTTGTATTTCCTTGATACCTAATGATGTTAAGCAATAGAAATCCTTCTTTTAAGAATCTATCCAATAGAAACAAATATAACACAGTGAAAGAATACACACACACATATATATACACATATATATATGTATATATATATATATATAGAGAGAGAGAGAGAGAGAGAGAGTCAGTATTGTTGGTACAAAAAAAAATGGCAACAGCCTGAGAATGCTCATTAGTATGGGACACTGGAATAATCATAGTAAATCCATGCACGGGAATGTATTCTATTAATAGGTAGATTTGTATACATTGATCTGGAGAAATGTTCATGAAACATTAAGAAAAAGTTACAGAATAATCTTTATAATGTGATCTCTTTTTTTTAAAGAAAAGTAAAGAAACAAAAAGAAAGTGTGTGTGTGTGTGTGTGTGTGTGTGTGTGTGTGTGTGTGTTGAAAGGACATGGAAAAGAGTGTGGAAGAATACACACAAGTACTAGCCTTGGCCACCTTGTTAGTAGGAGGGTGCAAGGAGGAGATGGTTATTCTTTATTCAGGGCTTTATGGTTTGACTCACTACAATGATTCAAAAACCCAGGCAGCCACCTTATGTAATTAAAAATAAAATCCCACTATGTAGTGTAAAGGGGACAAAATGAAGGAAACATGATCCATTGCTCTGGTTTAAAGTATTGCTACCTCCACGGTGGGGGCCATTTCTTAGAGTGGACACAGGCTGGGTGCTCCCTAAAGTTTTTCCAATAACTGTTTGACGTTGAGTCAGGCGTCTACTTTCTCTTGGCCTCATCTGCAAAATGGAGATACTAAGAGTAGGTGATTGTTCAATTATTCCAAAGCTATAAACTCCAATAATAAGCTATTTGTGTAGAAAGAATGTTATCATGGGACATATTTCAGAAGCAGTAGAACCTGATCAATGGTGTGTTGGAGCCGAGGGGTGGGGAGATGGTGGTGTGAAGGGCTTCTACTGATTAGCTGAATTTAGGGCTGGGAAAGATGCCTGACCTGTAAGAGAGTCATTATTTGGCCCCCAGCATCAAAGCAGGGCAGTGAGAGTCTTTACAGTAGGATCTAGGATTTCCCCTTTTCTTCTGTTTAGTAAGTTTGGCATGAGAAAGAGAGGAGCTGGTGTGAGGGAAAGAGCAGTGGACAGAGCAGGGACAGAATCTCCAAGGCTGACCCCCAGGGGCCACTCCAAATCAGCCCTGACCTTGGCCCTGGGAAGCTGTCTGCCCAGACAGAAGAGTATTTGGTTCCAGGGGTAGGAGAAGCACCCCAACCCCTGAGACAGACGGGGCAAGGGGAGGAGTCTTAGCTCCTGGTCAGGCATTGCTCCCTGGCTTTACCTTACCGGCAGGGTACCCGGCTCCTCTCACCGCCCCTCTTCCTACCACCCCAGGAGGGAGAAGGAGACACTCACCCAGCACCAAGAGGCGGACGCGTGACTTGGAGACACCACCCAGGTCCTTCAGCAGTGAGACAGAGCACTCGTATGTGCCGTTGTCATCCATGGTCAACCGGTCAATGGTGATGGAGGCATCTGACTGCTGGACGTTGCCTGATACATTGGCGCGGTTCTGATAAAGTTCACCGTAGATGTAGGTTTGGGTCGAAAATGTCCAGATGAGCACCGTTTCCTGTGAGGAAGAAGAAATACCACTTGGTCTTCAGCCTAAGGCCCTGGCATGATGCTCCAGCCTGCCCTGACTACCCTCATCCACCATTCCCAGGCCCAGGTGTACTGACACACCAACCCTGCAGAACAAAGAGCTCTATACGTGGTGTCCATTTGTGGATTCCTCTTATGATGTATTTATATGTTTTTAGTGAAAATATTGAAAGCCCAGGGCAGGTAGGCAGTTCATACCAGAGGAGCACGTGTGAGTAAGTGAGGCTTTCACCTCTTGTAACCTCTGGCACCTCTTACCCATTCCATTTTAGTTCATTGTCTGTTCTCAGACATTCAGTCAACCAATATTTATTGAACACCTACTACGTGCAGGCATTGTGCTAGGTAGCCATCCTTGGCTTCCAAGCCCCCTTTATTTATTTGACTCTCGCCTTTGGAATTTGTTTATTCATTGATATACTTATCATTTATCAAACAGAACATAGTACTAGCTAAGATCATTACTTTTGAACCAGACTGCCTCAGGTCAAATCCCGGTTCTGCCACTTACTAGTTCTATGACCTTGAGCAAAATGCTGACCTCTCTATGACTCCATTTCTTCATCTACAAAGTGGAGATAATGATAATAACACTTGTATCATAGGATTTTTGTGAGAGTTAAAGTAGATAATATATGCAAAGCAGATGGCATCAAGCCATGGGCTTGCTGAAGCCACCTCGGGTAAATGAGTAGAGAAATGGCAAGTCCCCAAGTTACTTCATTTGGAAAGGTCAGAGAGAGGTCAGAGAGATACGAGCAAAAGTCAAGACGAGGCTACCAGAAAGCCAAGGGAGGGAGATTCCCAGATAGGAAAAGTGGTTGATAGCTGGAAAAGCTAGGGAGAAATGAAATAAGACGAGGACTGAATCAGCACGCTGAATTTAACAAAAGAGAAGCTGCTGGTGATTTCGGTGGAGCATTAGGGGAGGAAGGCTGACCATGCCGGGTAGGGAAGAGAGTGTGGAGACATAGTGTCAGGTCTGACGCCTGGGCATGCTCTTTACGCAAATCAGGAAAAGGTGCTCTAGTTGTTGGACAGACACACCTTTGCCAAGCTAATGGCGGTCAGGCGCCCTGGGCTGGGTCCCCAAGTGCATAATCTGCCCAACCACATACAACAGCCCTGGTAGGGGCGGATAACTCAGGAAGCTTGGCTGAAAGGGGAGGAGCAACAAGGTGGGAGATGAGGACCTGTCTTGGGCTGTGGACCCGTCTGTGGATGCTGGTCTTTCCCAGCTCAGTTCTTTTCTGACCTACTGGCTCTGCCAAGGACTCTTCATGCCCCAACCCTCCTCCCAATCACAGCGATCCTAAGGCTTCCCCCTCCTGGGATCTCCCCCAAGTCACCCCCCCAACCCTTGCTAGGACCTGTCACAATAATCTCCTTGAGGGCACAGGTTAAATCCCTTGCTCTGCAGCCTTGCTTGCTCTCAAGGGGATTGCCTCAAATCCTTTAGAAAGTAAGGGATCCATCAGTCAACAAAAGATCTTTAGTGTTTATCTCAGCACTCAGAAGCGTGCCTACCAGAGACCTAACGTCTTGTTTGCTGAATATATGTGACGGTGAAAGAACGTGTCTTCAGATTCTACAAGCTAAAGGCAGCGGCTGCCCTCTCTAGGTTTTTTCCTGGGGTTCTGGAAACAGATAGGACATGTGCTCTGTCCCATCAGGGTGCCTTGGGCAACAGACAATAAGGTGCCTCAGGCCAAGATTTGCTCTCCTTTCTCATCGGCCCTGCTGCTCTAGGACTTTGGTGTCCTGGTTTCTTTTCTGTCAGGGAAAAAGCTAAATGCTTTCACTCTGAGTAGTTGGGGATCTAATGCCAGGCATGTGTGCATTTTAAAAGTAGAACTCACTTTCAAACTTACGAATAGGGACCTCCCTGGCAGTCCAGTGGCTAAGACTCCATGCTTCCACTGCATGGGGCATGGGTTCCATCCCACTGGGGGGAACTAAGATCCCACATGCTGCACACGTGGTCCAAAAAATATATATATATATATTATGAATAGATGTTCCCCTTCTTATAGTTAAAGAAATGTGGATTTAATCAATAATGAGATACTTTTTCACTCATCAAGTTGGCGAATATCCAATAGTTTGAGACCACTCTGTTAGAGAAATAGGTGCCTACGCTGTTGTTGGTGAACATGAAGGTTGGTCTGACATCCAATGAAAGCAATTTGACATTATTTATCCAAATTTTAAATTCACATAGCCTTTGACCCAGAAGTTCATTTTTAATAAATTATCTTATATATAAATATATATTTATAAATAATGACAATAATATTTAAAATATACCTAGAGGCATATATATAAGGATGTTTATTGCAGCATTATTTGTAGCAGCAAAATATAGGAAACAAACCAAATGTCCATCATTGGTACGTATAGAGCATTCATAAAATATGATACTTAATGAAAATATTTTTAAAAGAATGAGATAGATATAAATGTACTGACATATGGAAAGAGTTCCAAGGTATATTAAGAGGAAGAAAAGCCAAGTGGAGGACAGTATGCATGTAGTTTATATAAACATACATATTCATATACGTATATGTAAATATATGTCTATGTTTGTGTGTGCATGGTATACATGTGGAGCATCTATAGAAGTCCATCCCCAAATCTGGTAATAGTGGTTGCCTTTGGTGCGGGGAATAGGGGACTGGGATTCTAGGGTCAAAAGTAGATGTATTTTCATGCGTGTGAATCTATACATTTACATTTTCTTGAATTGGCGTAAAGAATCATTGGAAGGATACACAAGAAGCTAAATCTTAGCCAAAAGTGATATTCACAATACTGAATGATTGTAGCAGTGATACCAATCAATCAGATTAAATGCTGGCCCCAAAGAACCAGTACCAGTGAAAATTAGCCTTGCTGGGGAGGACGGAGAGATAGAAGGATTAGGGTGTGGAAACTGGGTAGATAGGACAAGAGGGGCAGGGATAGGAATGAGACTTCTGCATGTACACTTTCAGGATGTTTTAATTTTTGAGCCATGGGATTACTATCTATTCCAAAATAGAAAATAAAATCTTCCCATAGTCCCCAAAAGAACCCAAACAGGAAAAAACTATAATAAAATTTGGCCTCAAGGGAGAGCGCTATGCTAATCAAAAGGAATGATACAGTTTAGGTCATTTGAGACTGACCAACAGAAAGATGTTTTGGGGAAGGTGACTCTTTCACACTAGAGGTGGCATAATATGGCCCTCCCTGGGTCCAACATTCACTGCTCCCTCCCCACCCATCCCAGCCTGGGCGCTAACTAGGTTTATTCTGCCTAACATTTATTGAATGGCTTTGTAGTGCTTAGCCTCCAAGAGGTCATGGTCAGGTGGTACTCATGACGCTCCCAACTTTTTAAAGATCCTTACCGTATGACTCCTTAGAAGCTTGTCCCATTGGATAAACCCATCTCGGTTGAGGGAGGAAGTTTTGTAGGTGCATGGAAGGGTAACGCTCTTTCCCCGAGCAGCCCGAAGAACATCCTTTGGGGTTTCCACAGAGATGGCGTGGACAGTCACCCAGACTGGAAAAAAAGTGGGAAGTAACTGACATGGGCATTCATACTCATTCTCCACCGGATCTCTGAGGGAATGGCCAGTGACGCTCTTCCAGCCACAGCTAGACACACTGCAACTGAGATCTCGGCCATGGCGCACCAGCTGTTCTCCACCAGGCCCGGGGTGAAGACAAACACGTGTACCTTGGTTCACCCTGTCCCCATCCCACGGCATCTCAACAAAGTTAATTGCGTTGTGTGATGGGTAAAAGCCTGGCTCTGCGCCTCAGCCCCACCTCTTACACACTGTGTAAACTTTTGTCAGCCTCAGTTCTCATCCATAAAAAGGGACACTAGTATTCTCAGAGCTCTTGGGAGAATTAAACAAGATAATGTGTATAAATGCTTTGCTTAATGCCTGGCACATAGAACGCTCTCAATAAATATTTCCCACCGTCTTTTTTGTTGTGATGATGATTTATTCATTTATTTAGCAAATATTTATGGAGCGCTTAAATATGGTAAGAAAATTGATGAATAAGATTAAGTCAAGGTAAAGAGAGAGAGGGTTCTCCCAGGGGAATTTATTCTGTATAAGTTTATCAGAAAAAAGACGAGAAAAAGAGTGTGGCCACATCAGTGTCTCTCATCACATACATTCTTCTTGCCATGTGACTTTGACTCTCCTCCATCAAGAGGTCCGTCCCTTGAATCTGGGTGGACCTATGACTACAGCGTGAGTGACGCCCATTAGGCAGAAGCTCTAGTAAATGGATTTCCTTCTTATATAGTCTGGATACCCTTTAAACTGCTGATTTTTATGCTGTTTCCCAGGGTGGGCAATTTCATACTCAGGCCCGTCAGCAGTATCCCTCCTTACTGCAGGTTGCTGTGTTGGGGATTGGGTTCCCATGGATACATCTCTGTCTTTCCTACCCATTTCTATGTTGTCCTTCTATGCGCAGTAGCTGTTTAATCAGCCCTCAGATTTTCCTCAGGAGGAATTGCTCTATATGTAGGTATAGATTCGGTGTGTCTGTGGGAGGAGGTGAGCTCAGCGTCTTTCTATGCAGCCATCTTGGGCCACTCCTGTACCAGTCCATATTTAATGTCCACAACTTCTCTATGGCCATTTCAGGAAGTAGCATAGCATTGAGTTTAAATGCACAGGCTCCAGAGCTAGAATGCGTCCATTGGAATTCCGGTTCCTTTATCTACTAAATGTATAACCTTGAGCAGTTTACGTAAGCTCTCTGTGCCAGGGTCCTCACTTGAAAAATGGGTTGTTTGGAGATTAAATAACATGAAATGTGTACTTTGTTTAGAATGACTCCTGACCCATAATCAGTGCTCAACATATGACAGACTACATTATGTATATGTGTGTTCAATATATTCTCTCTATATATATTCATATCGAATAACTTCCACTTCTCATCCCATAGTCTTTTGTTGAGGCACAACCTTAGTTAGAAGTTAATCACGAGAGATAACCACCTACCACCACCATGGGTGAACTATCGTAAAGGAATAATAATTACTAATGATTATAACTAAAGAATAGATCAATTTTAGAGACCACTACAAAAGCGAGTAAAAGTCATTTTATGTTAATTTGTGAGGGAAGAGATTGAAATGAACGGATGAGAAAGAACTCATAAAGAAAAGGAAAAAATCTTGAACAAGTATAGAGCACTATTTAAATGCTATTTGTAAACCTGAGAAGGATCTTTAAAGGCTGATCTGGTGCCCTGAGACACACTTACATTTTCCATAATCCTAGATGAGAATTTATCCTGTGTTTAAGACCTTCACGCCAACAGCCATCACTGGAAATCCTCCACAGCTAATCAAATCCTTCTCACTGATTCAGTTAGTATCCTCTTTTTCTGACATCACTGGCAGCAAAGACATCTGGCTTAACTTCTCAATAATTTCCCATCACGAACTCAGAGGATTCTGACGTTTGCAATCACCAACTTTCTCACCCACAGTTCTGTAATAAACTGTAATAAACCCAGTTCCTTTCACCTCTTTCTATAGGCTTATTGTTTATTAGCTCTGTGGCCCTCGTTTTTCTGTTCTGTGGAATCTGCATCCTACTCAGTGGATGAGACAAAAGTACCAGGTGGGACATCTAATCCACCATCAGAAAACTAGGAAGTGCAGAAGTTTGCTTCTAGAGCCTTCCAACACCCTCCCTTTCTACTTGTTTGTACAGATCTACATTGGGTATCTTCTTTCCAGTTGCCGGAACCCACCCTCTCCCCAGTAGTTGCAGCTCTCCCATCCTGTTGCTGCCGAGAGCTGTGTCCCTCGTGCTCCAGAGGTATTCTTTCTTTCCCGCTCCCTCCCCACTCTCCTTTTTTTCTCAAGGCTGAGTTCTTCTGATATTCATGAAGACCATCCATCTGATAAGCTAATTCATTATAAGGTGTTAAAAACAAATCGTTCAGCGATGTGTTAACCTTCCCAAGGATATACAAATTGGAGGAGCAGGTGCTCTCACCTGCAAGGAAGGAATCAAAATCTCACAGCACAATAGGGGTTTGCTGAGGAAGAAATTTTAACCACATACATTGTCCTAGAGAAAATGCCCAAAGGCTCTCAAGCAGAGTAGATGACTCTGTCCTTTGTGCCATGGGTACCACCCACGAGTACCTTCATCCTAGCACTCTCTCATGAGAGTTTATTACATATGGCAGAGTGGCCAAGAGCACAAACGCTGGAGCCAAACTGCCCAGGCTGTCATCCTCATTCTTAGTTTTCCTAGCTGTGTAACCTTGCACAACTTAATTAACTTCTCTGTGCCTCAGTTTCCTCGACTATAAAATGAGGATAATAATATTATCTAACTCCAGCGTTGTTGTGAGGGTTGGATGAAAACATATTTAGCATGCATGACCTTCATCCTGGCACATAAGCAAGAACTATGCCAGCATTCCATATTGTCACATCCTTCTCCTCTACCACACTGTTTTTCCTTCCTTTTCATATCCTCAGGGCTCAGAAAACTGCCTAACACTTAGGAGATGCTCAAATAAGTGCTCTTGGACAGCAAACTGAATGAGTTCTAGAGAACTTAAGTTTAAAAGGTGGGTAGGATTTGCAACCAGAGAAACTTGGTTGAAGAACTTACCTTACACATTGCTAGAAAATGTAAAAAAAAAATATTAAATTAAGAACAAAAGGAGCCCAGAGAGGGGATGCCAAGTCGGCAAGTGGTCCCAGATGGAAATGGGAAAGGTCATTTAACCTCCCTAAGTGGGCGGGGTGTGAACCGACAGCTTGAAGCCTCCAGGATTGCTTGTAAATAATTAAGGCTTGTTAAGAAGATAATAAACTGTCTCTTGAGAGCTAACCAGAAAGCAATACATCCAAGGAGAATAATAAAATGCTCGATGGACTGGAGACTTTAGGCGTACACAGCACATTATGGGAACCCTTGGGAAACTGGCAGGAATGCCTCCACTTAGCAAAATCCATTTGCTCAGTGAAACCACATTCTTAGTTAGGGAGGAGGTGCCCGAGGCCAGAAGGGGCCCATCGCACCCCAGGACTAGATACATGCTCTGACATTGAGAAAGCGCTGGTCTCTAGGGAAAGGGGTGCAGCTCACACACGCACGTGCATGTTGGTTTGTCCTGCCCCCCCCCCCACAAGGTGGGAATGACTCCTGGAGGCTCTCAGACTGGCAGATGGGGGAGGAGGGATGGAGAGGTGGGGAGGGGGGTTAGAACTCCATGGATGTTTGAGGAACTCTTTGTTCAACATGGATCTTTGGGAATCTATGAATTCCGGTCAATTTAATGAATTTTTCCTAAGGCCCTAGTTTAGTGCAAGGCCCTGGAAAAATGATCAGAGGCATCTTCATGCCCCACCTCCTCTGGGAATCCACCTGGACCATCCCAGCCCTTACTGGTTTCACTGAAGCGCTTCAGGGAGCATGCACCCCACGCACACGTCATTCTCATGTCAGTGTGGGTCTATGTGTGTGGGCCGTCTCTCCTCATCATAGGGCAGCTCCTTCCAGCAGGGTCTGTGTCTCAGACTTCTCTTATACCCATCGCTTGCTAGTTCCCACCCCAAGGTATGTACACAGAGCTGGGTGCTAATAAGACTTTACTGATTGAGTGGTTCATGACACAGTCCCTGCCTAGGAAGCTGTTAGCCAGCATCACTGTCAGCCCGCATCCTAATAGAACCTAATTAAGTGTTAAGTGCAAATGATAAGGAGTGAAGTGTAGGGGTTGTGGGGAGGGGTGGAGAGGGGAGGGACCTGGAAGAAGGATTTTAATGGAAAGCCTTATTGAGGAGGTGGGACTTGAAATAGCCCCCAAGGGATTCGATTCACTATGTTGAACTTGTGCATAGAAGAGAGTAAAGCAGGATGCAAAACTACATGCAACAGTATCCTACTTCTACAAAGTCACAGAGGGGAAGCAAATTCTTAGAAGAAAATATACCAGATACAGAATTAATACCAGTGATCTCTGGATTCTGGGATGATGGGTTTCTTCTTTGTGTATTTTTATTTTCCAGATGTTCTGCAGCAGACATGCGGTACTCTTGTAACCATAAAGCCGTGTTACAGTTTTATATGTCAAGCAGGAAGTGAAGAAGTAGAGAGGTGAGGGCAGCCCATTTTGTCAAGGAGCTCACGTAACACAGGGAGATGGGAAAGCTGGAGCCAGAGGGCCATGAAAGGTCTTGAGAAGGTTTCTTTCGTCCCCTCTGGGATGGAAGATGGAGAGACTTAAGCAGGCTCCTAGGTTATAAGGATGGAACTCCCAGAAAGGAAGAGACTGAAAATAGAGGAGAAGCCAGATGGAGCAAGGCCTCTGGCTGGGTGGGGGAGGGCATAGGTGGAGGACTAGCCTTGCCCACAGCAAGAGTCACCTGTTCCCATGTGTACAGAGATAGAGAAGTCGGTGGGCAGGTGTGGAGCAGTGAGCTCTGACGGCGGACCCTGTCCTCCACAATTTATGCCTCTCTCCGAGGAACTTTGTGACAGTCCTAAGTGGGAG